CGGGGGGCAGCCGGGGGCCCCTGCCCGGAGGCTTCTCCAGTGGCAGCTCCCTGAAGAACATCAAGTGCACCAAGTGCCCGGAGGTGTTCCAGGGCGTGGAGAAGCTGGTCTTCCACATGCGAGCGCAGCACTTCATCTTCATGTGCCCGCGCTGCGGCAAGCAGTTCAACCACAGCAGCAACCTCAACCGCCACATGAACGTGCACCGCGGCGTCAAGTCGCACTCCTGTGGCATCTGCGGCAAGTGCTTCACGCAGAAGTCCACGCTGCACGACCACCTCAACCTGCACTCGGGAGCCAGGCCCTATCGCTGCTCCTACTGCGACGTGCGCTTTGCGCACAAGCCTGCGATTAGGCGGCACCTCAAGGAGCAGCACGGCAAGACGACGGCCGAGAACGTGCTGGAGGCCAGCGTGGCGGAGATCAATGTCCTCATCCGCTAGCGGGGCCCGGCTCTGGGTCGGTGGGCTGGGTGGGAAGGGATCCCCTGGCCCGGAGAAGTGGGGGTCGGGGACACGCAGGTATGGTGGGGAGCCTGAGCAGACACACACGTCCTGAGCGAGGGGCCCAAGATTCCTGGACAGAAGAGCTGCCTCTTCCGAAGAAAAGGGTGGAGAGGGAGAGGGTTGTTCTTTGAGAAGGCCAAGGGAGGGGGGCCCCAGAGAGACTGACTCCTCTCCGAGGTGCATGCGGCTGTGGAGGGAAAAGGTCCTCCGGAACGAGGCGGCAAAGGGACTGGAAACTTTCCTGGCCACACCTGCCCAGGGAGAGGTCTGACGTTTCTTGAGGTGGGGTGGGGGGGTGGGAACTGGGAGGGTATTTGGCAGGGGTTCCTTACATGCTCCTGCTTAGAATAGATTCTTGGGAGAGGGACTGGTAGGGGGAAGGATTGAGCCCCAGAAAAGGAAGGGGGACAGGTCTTGCATGCTGGGGAATGGGACTGTGGGTACAAGGCTCACCAAAATTCTAGGAAGAACAAGGTGGCAGGTAAGAGAACATAGGGATGAGCATCCTGGATAGTATCGGGAAGTGGGGTACAATAGCAAAAACGGGAATAAGGGGGTGGGGAGAGGGCACTTAGATGAAAGGACACAAGAAGAGCTGTTTAGGGGGAGGGAGAGGAGTAGAGACTTATACAGTATTTTTTAAAAACACGTATTTTTTAGGATTTTTTTCTGGAGTTTGGGGTTTTAGATGGGTTTTTTTTTTTTGCTTTTGTTTTCCACAAAATAAAAAAAAAAATCCTTTTTTTTTTCTTTATACTCTGTCTGGCAACTGCTTGTAAATGACTGTCCCACCCTAAGCAGCCTCCTGTTTGCTCAATACCCAGAGGTCACAACTCACGCAGGTCCCGTGCCTGACGCAGGCCCAACAGGGAAGGGGGTGTCACCAGTGGGCTCTCGGGCTGGGGCCCTTCCAGTTAAACCTCGACACCTGCCAGGTACCTCAAGCACAAGTGTCCCGTGATAATCCGTGACCTGCTCCTCAGGAGTTTGGTATCGAGGCCAGGGATGGGCTACAGGTGTGATCACTGTGCCCACCAAACCCGCAAGCAGGAGCCCATGTCGGGGCATTTTTGGTCTGGGGAAAGGGTCCGTGTCCTCGGGAAAGCTAAAAATCACTAGGCGTGGAAGTGTAGGTCTGGGGAAACTACAATTCCCAGAAAGCCCTACTGGAATAGTTCCTAACCAAAATCAACTACAGTTCCCAGAAAGCCTCGAATTGGCCTATATCCCAACCACCTGTCTGTGTCAAAGACTGTGAAATCAGTTTCCCAACTTTGACCAGATGCATTCCTAAAGGGACCATACCCTGATAGTTCTATGGAGGTTGTCCGTCTTGGCCTAATACTCACGCTTCCACTCTGCTGGGCTGTGGCCCCGGAGGCTGACTGCGCTTGTGCAGTGTTTGGCAAAGAAGGTTACTTGAGTGTCACCGACAGCAGTGACTCTGGGGCACCGGGGGGCTATCGGGATTCCTAGTGCGTGTTGGGGTGACATGTCTGATATAAACGGAAGGACACCTCCCCGCCCAAGGGGACGTGAAGCAGCCTGCGAGAGCCAGCCGAGTCCTGTGCGTCCCCAGGCCCTCTCCTTTTCAAATCATCAAGTTTATTTAGAAAGTTACAGAGGCAGCGGTGGGCCGGCCGGGCCGCGAAGGCTCAGGAAACAAGTTACAGACTTCGAAGGGCCCCTGGAGCTCAGGGGAACGAAAGGCAAAGGCGGCAAAGGCGCCCGCCTGCTCGGGGAGGGACAGCGAGTCCCCTCGCCCCTTCGTGCTTTAGAGAAGCCCCAGCGGAGGCCCACCTGCTCTCTGCAGCCCCCACACTGGAAAGCACTAGAAGTGGGAGAAGCCACGGTCCAGAGGCTGACACTCCGCTTGGACCCAAAACCTGGGGGAGGCCACA